AGAATTCATGTCCCAAGCTAAAACTTTGATCATCTTTATCTTCATCAAGTGCGTTAGATCCGACAGTTTTGTGACGTTACGAGCTGACATCCGTGCTGCTGGTTGATCAGTTATTGAATTATAGTAATATGCTCCTTACCTATGCGATGTTCTTCTCTTTCTTCCTCTGTCGCTCCTTACTCGCTCGGCTTCATGCATCCGTCACGTCTTGAATTTCCTCTAGCGAGGCTTCTGAAGCGTCTGAAGACCCACCAACCAAGGAGGGGAAGCAACGCCAATCGCACGGCATCAGTATGATCGCACCAGAACCCACTGTACCTAGGCCAGCTGCCTCCTGGGGGGGGCCATAAAATCAGAATCCATGTTTATTGCCAAAGTAGGTGACATAAAATAAATCAAATAAATATGTATAAATATATATATATATTCGTATATATACATAAATAATTTGAAGCGAAGAGAAAAACTGACAGACTTGTCTTTCACAGTTAAATCCAGGTGAACAACAGACCAGTAAACTCTCACTCTGCACAACTTACAAATCAGATCAATGCTATTGAACATGTGCAGCCTTGTTTATTAAGGCAGGTAAGTCTGTTTCCCAATCAGAAATCTGACTTACAGCTGTGAGGGAGATTCTCAGCTGATTGGCTCTCTTCAAGCAGAGCTCCTCTCTCTTGTTGCTCCTCCAAAACTCAATAATATACATTTCTGCTCATCACTGGCTGCAGCTCACTCTGTCTCACACGTCCTTGTCGTCCGTCAGTCTGTCTCTCTGTCTGTCGTGTCACTAGACTGTTTCTTCTGTCCGTCTGTTTCAGTCTTTCCCATTTTTCATCTAGACTTCATTATTTCTCCTCTCTCTCTCTCTCTCTCTCCGCTAATCTCTTCATCTCTCTCTCACACACACCACCACATAACACACACACACAACTTCACACAACACCAGACATCTGACAAAAACAAGAGAACTGAAACAGAACTCTTGGTTTGATTTCTGTTCATCTCGGACTGAACACCTCTATTCTATTGCCAACATCATCTGTTCAGCTCACACACACACACACACACACAAACACACACACACACCACACACACACACACAACACACACACACACACACACAAACAAGACCTCTGACAAAACAAGAGAACTGAAACAGACTTTGTTTGATTTTCTGTTCATCTCGGACTGAAAACCTCTATTTCATTGCCAACATTCATCTGTTTCAGCTCACAGCAACACACACACACACACACGGCCTGCACAACAACAAATGTGTGTGTGTGTGTGTGTGTGTGTGTGTGTGTGTTTGTGTGTGTGTGTGTGTGTGTGAGCTGAACAGATGAATGTTGGCAATGAAATAGAGGTTTTCAGTCCGAGATGAACAGAAATCAAACAAGAGTTCTGTTTCAGTTCTCTTGTTTTTGTCAGAGGTCTGTGTGTGTGTGTGTGTGTGTGTGTGTGTGTGTGTGTGTGTGTGTGTGTGTGTGTGTGTGTGTGTGTGTGTGAGAGAGAGAGAGAGAGAGAGAGAGAGAGAAATAATGAAGTCTAGATGAAAAATGGAAAGACTGAAACAGACGGACAGAAGAAACAGTCTAGTGACAGACAGACAGAGAGACAGACTGACGGACGACAAGGACGTGTGAGACAGAGTGAGCTGCAGCCATGATGAGCAGAAAAATGTCATATTTTGAGTTTTGGAGGAGCAACAAGGAGAGAGGAGCTCTGCTGAAGAGAGCCAATCAGCTGAGAATTCCTCCCTCACAGCTGTAAGTCAGATTTCTGATTGGAAAACAGACTTTACCTGCCTTAATATAAACAGAGCTGCACATGTTCAATAGCATTGATCTGATTGGTAAGTTGTAGCAGAGTGAGAGTTTACTGGTCTGTTGTTCACCTGGATTTAACTGTGAAAGACAAGTCGTCAGTTTTTCTCTTCGCTTCAAATTATTTATGTATATATACAGTATATATATATATATTTATACATATTTATTTGATTTAGTTTATGTCAAAACCTACTTGGCAATAAACATGATTCTGATTTTATGCCCCCCCCAGGAGGCAGCTGCTAGGTGACAGTGGAATTCGGGCGCTGCTACATGATGCCAGGATGGCGCCTCTGCTTCCCCCTCTTGGTTCGGAGGTCTTCAGACGCTTCACGCAAGCCTCGCTAGAGGAAATTCAACGACGATATGAAGCCGAGGAGAAGGAGCGACAGAGGAAGAAAGAGAAGAACATCGAGGTAAAGGACATATTACTATAATTCAATAACTGATCAACCCAGCAGCACTGGATGTCAGCGTAACGTCACAAAGATGTCGGAGTCTAACGACTCTCATGAAGATAAAGATGATCAAGTTTAGTTGGACATGAAAATCTGCTTCACAACAAAAACACATGGTGACATGTCATGTCAGCATTTTCTATCAATACCCTGAAATCTTAAGACCATGATACTGAGGTTGTCTCTGATTGGCTGTCTCTAATTGGCTGTCTCTGATTGGCTGTCTCTCTGATTGGCTGCCTCTCTGATTGGCTGTCAATGATTGGCTGTCTCTGATTGGCTGTCTCTCTGATTGGCTGTCTCTGATTGGCTGTCTCTCTGATTGGCTGCCTCTCTGATTGGCTGCCTCTCTGATTGGCTGCCTCTCTGATTGGCTGTCTCTCTTTATTCGCGGCTGTCTCTAGATCTTGATTGGCTGTCATGTGATGTGAATTGCTGTATTTCGTGCTAATTGCTGGTGTCTCTGTGGCTGTCTCTTTGATTGGCTGTCTCTCTGATTGGCTGTCTCTCTGATTGGCTGTTTCTCTTTTTGGCTGTCTCTCTGATTGGCTGTCTCTCTGATTGGCTGTCTCTCTTATTGGCTGTCTCTAATTGGCTGTCTCTCTGATTGGCTGTCTCTCTGATTGGCTGTCTCTCTTATTGGCTGTCTCTGATTGGCTGTCTCTTTGATTGACAGATAGCAGAAGAAGATCTTCCTAAACCAGCAAGTGACTTGGAGGCCGGCAAGCCCCTCCCATTTATCTATGGAGACCCGCCCCCTGAGCTTCTCAACACCCCATTGGAGGAGCTGGATCCCTTCTACCAATCACAGAAGGTCTTTGTATCTCTGTAATAAAATGTATCAGTTACATCAAGTTTCATCTTCAGGACAGACGTTATTTTACCTCCACAATGTTTATGTTTCCTGCTGTGCTTGTTTTTGTCTGACCTGTCTCTCTGTCACCTGTCTCTCTCTGACCTGTCTCTCTCTCTCTCACCAGTCTCTCTCTCACCCTTCTCTCTCTGACCTGTCTCTCTCTCACCCTTCTCTCTCTGACCTGTCTCTCTGACCTGTCTGTCTTCAGACATTCATCGTGCTCAGTAAAGGAAACATCATCTACAGGTTTAACGCTGACCCGGCCTGTTACCTGCTGAGTCCGTTCAGCCGTCTGAGGACCATCGCCATCAGGATCCTGATCCACTCATATCCTTTATGATGTCACACTCTACCAATAGCTCCTTAAGACAGACTCCATCAAAGACTAGTGAGTTCAACTAATTGATCTAACGAACACAGGCAGCCAGCTGCAGTGAAACTCGACAGGATTAATAAAATAGAAATATTTGTTGTATAATTGGCTCTACTTCGTGATTGATCTTTGATCAGCAGGTTATTGATTGATGATCAGCTTCCTTAAAGCCAAAACTTTATTCAGTTTGTTCATCATGCTGACGATTCTGACCAACTGTGCGTTCATGACGATGAGTGATCCTCCAGCATGGAGCAAGACTGTGGAGTGAGTCTGACACACACACACACACACACAGACACAGACACAGACACACACAGACACAGACACACACACACACAGACACAGACACAGACACACACAGACACAGACACACACACACACAGACACAGACACAGACACACACAGACACAGACACACACACACACAGACACAGACACAGACACACACAGACACAGACACACACACACACAGACACAGACACAGACACACACAGACACAGACACACACACACACAGACACAGACACAGACACACACAGACACAGACACACACACACACAGACACAGACACAGACACACACAGACACAGACACACACACACACAGACACAGACACAGACACACACAGACACAGACACACACACACACAGACACAGACACAGACACACACAGACACAGACACACACACACACAGACACAGACACAGACACACACAGACACAGACACACACACACACAGACACAGACACAGACACACACAGACACAGACACACACACACACAGACACAGACACAGACACACACAGACACAGACACACACACACACAGACACAGACACAGACACACACACAGACACACACACACACACACACACACACACAAACACACTGATACACACATAATTACACACTGACATTACACACAGTTGATGTGAAAACTACAGATCATGACCTCCGGACTGAGACAAATAACCAGTCTGTCTTCCTCTTCTGTCGTCTGTCCTCTGTCTAAAGGTCACTAAAGTTCAAACAGTTTGAACTTTGACCCCTGTGGTATGTTTGAGTTCTGCTGTAATTCTCTGTTCAGGAATTGAAACGCTCAGTGTTTAGATGCTTTGAACTCAGCCCATCTCTAAAGGACTGGTCTGGTTCCAAGTGAACTCTGGTGGTCTCTCTGGACCATATGTCCACAAGTGCAGGACTTTCCGTGATCACTCAGACAGTGGTTCTCCTGTAAAGTTTCTGTAGAAACACTGTGACTTTATTCACAACCTGCAGCTGATTTCAGTCTAATAACACTAATAACATTATTGATGATATACACTTAATGTGAAACGTCCATCACAGTTGTTCTTGTATCTGAATGAATGAATGAATGAATGAGTGTCTGAAGTGACTCCTGTCGTTGAACAGGTACGTCTTCACAGGCATCTACACGTTTGAAGCGACGGTCAAAGTTCTCTCCCGAGGATTCTGTGTGGGAGATTTCACCTTCCTCAGAGACCCCTGGAACTGGCTGGATTTCATGGTCATCAGCATGGCGTAATAATCAATATCAATAATCAAAAACTGAAACACAAACACATCTATGATAGAAAGACTCACAAAATCACATTGTTTCAAATACTATTCACTTGGTACATTTTTAACGTTTTAGTCCAAACTGCTGCTTAAAAACTTCAAGTTCTATACAATGAGGAAGTTGAACAGTCACTGACGACGATGACGACGATTACAATAACGCTAACAACAACAATGACAATGATGATGACAATGACAATGAAGGTGACAGCGATGACTGCGAAGGCATTGATGATGATGAAGAGGACTACAAAGCCAATGACAATGGCAATGACCATGATGACTACGAAGGCAATAATGATGACAACAGTAATGACGACAACAACAATAATGACAAAGGCAATGATGGCGATGACTATGACGATGATGACTACGAAGGCGACGATAACGATGAAGGCAATGTTGACAATGACAGCGATGATGATGATGATGGTGTCTTCTTCTCTCTTTCAGGTATCTTACAGAGTTTGTAGACTTGGGGAATGTTTCTGCGTTGAGAACATTCAGAGTTCTCCGAGCCCTGAAGACCATCACAGTCATCCCCGGTCAGTGTCTGTCACATCTTAAGGTGGATTTAATGCCTTAAGTCCACCTTAAGCAGCTGCTACTGAGACTTCTGCGATTTTTACACACACTCTGTTTTTATGAGCTGATGATGTTTATACCCACACCTCCAGGTTTAAAGACTATTGTGGGAGCTCTCATCCAATCAGTCAAGAAGTTGGCTGATGTCATGATCCTGACAGTGTTCTGCCTCAGTGTCTTTGCCCTGATTGGTCTGCAGCTCTTTATGGGAAACCTGAGACAGAAGTGTGTCCTGATGCCACAACAGCTTCGTAACCACACACCTGACGTCAGCGGTGACTTTGATTTCTATGAGTACATCAATAATCCAGGTATGAGAGGATTCTCATCGTGACACTGAGCTCAGTCAGGTCAACATCTAAATGAATGAATGAATGAATTTGTCTCTGGCAGAGAACTACTACTACGTGCCTGGGCAGCTCGATGCTCTACTCTGTGGAAACAGCTCTGATGCTGGGTACGTTCACATGAAGGACTGACTAGAATAATGATGATGATGATGGTGGTGATGGTGGTGATGATGATGATGATGTGATGGTGATGGTGTTGGTGACGATGATGATGTGTTCAGGGTCTGTCCCGAGGGTTATGTCTGTCTAAAGGTGGGGAGAAATCCAAACTATGGCTACACCAGCTACGACTCTTTTGGTTGGGCATTCCTGGCTCTGTTCAGACTGATGACCCAGGACTTCTGGGAAAACCTCTTCCAGCTGGTCAGTAACTGGTCCCAGTACAGAGGCAGGTCCTAACTAGTTAATCACTTCCTCGTTCACTCCTCCCTGTAACAGAAGCTCATCAGGTGCATTGCATTGTGGGATTGTTAGCAGGCAGCACATGTTGTACTGTTTTTGTTCTATGTTGACAAATCAAATGGACAGGAAATATGTTGTAAACAGGAAGTGGAGACAGTGATTGATAGGTCACGTGGAAAGGTAAATGAGAGCAGGTTTCCTCTCAGTCCTATTAAACACCTGGAAATATATATACAACCTGTCTGTCTCTCACCTGTCTATCTGCAGACACTACGAGCGGCAGGTAAAACCTATATGATTTTCTTCGTGGTCGTCATCTTCCTCGGCTCGTTCTACCTCATTAACCTGATTCTGGCTGTGGTCGCCATGGCGTATGCTGAGCAGAACGAGGCCACGTGTGCTGAGGCCAAACAGAAGGAGGAGGAGTACGCCGAGATCCTGGAGGCGCTGAAGAGGAGAGAGGAGGAGGTGACCCACACACAAGTACACACACACAGACACACATTAACATACACTGAAACACTGAACCTTTATTATCACTGTTGTTCCAGCAGGCAACCTGCAGGGCTGCACCCTCCCAGAATCCAGACTCAACACACCCACCTGTGGACGGACAGGAAGTCGAACAAGAACACAATACTATGGAAGGTATACACACACACACACACACACACACACACACACACAAATAGTTGAGGACACTCTTTGCCCCGGATTCTAACCGAAGAAGAGATATTTAAAATCAGTCTATTGATCCAGGTTCAGTCTTTGATGATTGAGTGTGATACAATGAGGCTTCTTCACAGCCAATCAGCTGTTTCTTCTAACACATCTGATGTGAATCCTCAGAGAGGTGGAGGTGACTCCTCAAACATGTGAGGGTGATGAATCCTCAGACAGGTGGAGGTGACTCCTCAGAGAGGTGGAGGTGACTCCTCAAACAGGTGGAGGTGACTCCTCGGACATTTGAAGGTGATGACTCCTCAGAGAGGTGGCGATGACCATGTGTTTCTTTGTGTTTCAGACTTTGAGGACGACCAGAGGCCATGTCCTCCATGTTGGTATTCCTTTGCTGACATCTTCCTGAAGTGGAACTGCTGCGGTTGCTGGCGGTGGCTCAAAATACGGCTCTACACCATCGTCATGGACCCGTTCTTCGACCTTGGCATCACCATCTGCATCGTCCTCAACACCGTCTTCATGGCCATGGAGCACTATCCAATGACGAATCAGTTTGAGGAGCTACTGAGTGTCGGAAACCTGGTGAGTGCCTCAGGTAAAACCTGAATCGGGATCATGTTAAAGTCGCCATATGAAGAGTACATTAACCATCACTATCTTTTATCTAACTGACGCTAACTTTAAAAGTAGTTTCATAATCAACTAGATCTGCAAGCAGGAATGAATGGGGTCCAAGCCTCCTGAGGTAATCGCACCGGCCACCTGTCGAGGCAGCGCAAGTTGAACATGTTTGGGGCGCCCCCTAGTGGCTGATTAGTAGCACATTTTGACCCTTACAGACCCTTAGAGTGATATGGATGTGAAAGCTTCATGTCAATAGAAGTAATTTCTCCAAAGATATGCAACACTACCCGTTTTGACTGCTAGCTACAGGAAGCAGTGCATTTTCCGAGCATTTTTTGTTGCTCAGAAAATGCACAAGTTACACAAGCCAGTTTTGATCAGAAGCAGCCGAGAGAGAGAGAGACAGGGATTGAACCATCGACCTTCTGATTAGTGGCTGACCCACTCTAGGTAGGGCTTTTTCCTTGATTATAGCACCACCGGTTGGTGGACAGGCTCCCAGCCCCCTCAGGCTCGGACCCCTAAATGTATGACATGAAGAAAAGACCACATTTTTAATTCAACAGTGAGTTTCCTCTAAGGGAAACTGTCCACAGGTTCATAACGGGGAGAGTCTCTGCCTCCAACAGCTGCTCCTCCATGGCAACGTGTTCTTTATGATCACAGTTTGACCTGAACATTTCCATGGACACAGAGTCTTTCTTTACACTGTGCTCAGGGTCAGAGTGACGATACTGCCCCTGCTGCGTAAAGACAGAATCACTAAGACCTTCATCAACCAGTGAGAGTGTAGACATGTTGACCTCTGACCTCTGACCACTGACCCCTCTGCAGGTCTTCACAGGGATCTTCACAGCGGAGATGGTGCTCAAACTTCTGGCCATGGACCCGTACTACTACTTCCAGGTCAGGCTTCCTGTTTGTCACCAGCTCAGTGATGACGACCGATGGCTGTTCCCACTGTGACATGTGTCTGTTCTGTTGCCATGGTTACAGGTGGGGTGGAACATCTTTGACAGCATCATCGTGACCATGAGTCTGGTGGAGCTGGGATTGGCTAACGTTCAGGGCCTGTCTGTGCTGCGCTCGTTCCGATTGGTCAGTGCAACATCATGGTTTCATGTCTACCTGTCTCCTCACCTGTCTACCTGTCTCTTCACCTGTATTCCTGTCTCCTCACCTGTCCAGATGCGAGTCTTTAAGCTCGCCAAGTCTTGGCCGACCCTCAACATGCTGATCAAGATCATTGGAAACTCGGTGGGGGCTCTGGGGAACCTGACTCTGGTCCTCGCCATCATCGTTTTCATCTTCGCCGTCGTCGGGATGCAGCTGTTTGGGAAGAACTACAAAGACTGCGTCTGTCGCATCTCGGGGGACTGCGAGCTTCCTCGCTGGCACATGAATGACTTCTTCCACGCCTTCCTCATCATCTTCAGGATCCTGTGTGGAGAATGGATCGAGACCATGTGGGACTGCATGGAGGTCTCGGGTCAGACCATGTGTCTGATTGTGTTCATGATGGTCCTGGTCATCGGAAACCTTGTTGTGAGTCTTCTGACCTGACCCTGGTTCAGTATGTCACTAATCCTCCAAAGGCCACCAGGGCAGAAACAGACCCAGGTCTGGGTCAGTGGTTGGGGGTTCAGGTGTGAATGAGACTGACTGGGGACAATGAAAAAAAGAAGTTAGCTAAGTCTGAAATTTCTAATTCAAGGTACAGGTCCTAAATGTGTTCCTGGTCTTGTTTCAGGTCCTGAACCTGTTCCTGGCCTTGTTGCTGAGCTCATTCAGTGGTGATAATCTGGCAGCTCCAGAGGATGAAGGTGAAAACAACTTGCAGATCGCCATAAATCGGATCAACAGGGCCGTGGCCTGGATCAAGTCCTGGATCCTAGAGCAGATTTGGACTGTCTTGGGAAAGAAGAGGCATGTCAACCCAGACCACATTGGTAGGACCATAACTGGAACTACAGTAAAGACTTTGGTCTCCCTCTGTGTTAAGGTTTAGTGTCGTGTGATGTTTTCATTAGGTTTGTTTCCATGGAGCTAATATTATAATCAGCTGATCATGTGACATCACCAGCTGTTGTACTAAATGAAATCATCATGACTTCACAGTTGACGGTGACGACAGCGACACAAAGGAGGTTTTGCATTTGACCTTTGTGACCTCAGACCAGCCAGTGTCAGAGGTCAATGCCCTCGGCTGTAGCCACGACAACCTGAGCAGCAACTACCACAACATCACCTTCCTGAAGGTGCCCATCGCGGAGTCCGAGTCTGAGTCCGAGTCCGAGTCTGAGTCCGACTTTGAGACACCTGAAAATGAAGATGAAGAAGAGGATGAAGAGGAAGACAAGAAAGAAAAGCTCTCCCAAGTAAACTACTAACTACCCTACTTTATTCTACTCTACTCTACTCTACTCTACTCTACTCTACTCTATTCTACTCTATTCTACTCTACTCTACTCTATTCTACTCTATTCTACTCTACCCTACTCTATTCTACTCTATTCTACTGACGGTTTAAAACTCACCATTTTCATAAACATGAAAACAGCTGGTAACATGTTTTAATGCAGTCAGTGATTTACAGGTCAAAGATCGCAGATCAGGTCACGGGTCACGGACTAGTATAACTGCTGAGCTCAGTCAGATGTGAACATGGTCATGCATGAAGTTATTGATTGTAATAATATTGATTATTTGATTATTATCTGATGTGTTTGTTCAGGGTGAAGAGTCGTCAACCTGCAGCACAGTACAGAAACTTCCTGAAGTCCAAGAGGAAGAGGACGATGAAGATCAGGATACTAATACACCTGAGGACTGCTGCACTGACAGTATGAACACACGCACACACACGCACACATGCACGCACGCACGCACGTGCACACACACACACACACACACACACACACACACACACACACACACACACCTGAGTCCTTGTCATGTAACTGATTATATGTTTCAGACTGTTACCGTCGCTGCCCGCGCCTGGACATAGACACATCCCAGGGCAGGGGGAAGGTCTGGTCTAACTTCAGGAGAACCTGTTTCTCCATTGTGGAACACAACTACTTTGAGACCTTCATCATCTTCATGATCCTGCTCAGCAGCGGAGCTCTGGTAAACACTGTTTTTAATTATTACAGGTTATTGATGAGACGTGATCAGAGTTTGTTGGTACATGTTTGTGATTTTAGAGCTCACTTCTCCTGGTGCTGCTTGGTCTGTTTGATCTGGTCATGTGACTGAGCAGGTCAGATCTGAATGCAGGAATGTGTGCGATGTGCGTACTAACCATATGGAGACAATACGGCTGGCATGGCTAACACTGGACTACAAACATGGCTGACACTGTGACTACTAACATGGCCACCACAGGTTACAAAGGTGAGCTGATATTTAACTAAGACTGAATAAACTATGGATAATGACAGTGTCACACAACACTAGATAACATATCAACACATCATATGACATCATATCATATGATGACATCACACAACCAGAAGTAACAGAGAATACAATAACACAACATAAAAGAACATGAGAAAAACACGTCATCGCCAAAATAAAACAAAAATAAAATAACAAGAGGATAATGAACAGAATGATTTTCAAGTCTATTCAATTCATTTTTATTTATATGTCACCAAATCATAACATACATTATCTTTACATTATATAATCGCATTATAATAAACTTTGTTTATAGAGAACCTCAGCTCAAAGTGGTTTATAATATAAGTAAAAATGAAATAGTTCATTTAAGCAAGGGTGAATAAAAGAAAAATGAAATGAGACAATAAAAAGACAGTAGATGAACAAATATGTGAATGAAAATAAAAACAGAAACCAGTAAGAATAATAAAATAAGAGATAATTAATTAGGGGTAAAGTATAGTGTTGATTTATCTTCATTGTCACTGTTTCTGAGCCTCTCTGTCACAAACAGAACAAATCTGCAGTGAGTGCACACCTGTCCAGGTGCTAATTTTGGTCTGTTGTAAACAGGCATTTGAGGACATCTACCTGGAGCAGCGTCAGGTCATAAAGACGGTTCTGGAATATGCAGACCAGGTATTCACCTACGTGTTTGTGGTAGAGATGATTCTCAAGTGGATCGCCTACGGATTCAAGATCTACTTCACCAACGCCTGGTGCTGGCTGGACTTCCTTATTGTAGACGTAAGAACACGATCAATAATAGTGGTTCTTGGTAAAATATTGATTCGCTATCTTCAGGTGGTCACCAGTGATATGATGTTACCAGGTGTGATGTGTCTTGCAGGTGTCTCTAGTGTCTCTGACAGCTAACATCCTGGGATACTCTGAGCTGGGAGCCATCAAGTCTCTGAGGACTCTAAGAGCTCTGAGGCCCCTGAGGGCCCTGTCCCGCTTCGAGGGCATGAGGGTGAGACAGGCACTTTGAACACTGCCATACTGACAGACAGGTACATCAGAGGGTAATCTGTCTGTCTGCCCACTTACACCCAGGTCAGATGATTGTAACTCTCTATATTCCTGTCAGAGTCAATACAACCATCCAGACTTCATCTGGTCCTGGTTCTCACAGAATCCAACAGAACATGACCCTGATAATCTGTTCACTGGTCGCCTGTACAGCTTCACTTCTGACACGTCTGTCTCTATATCTTACCTGTTAGCCCCAGTGAGCCTCTGTTCGGGGTTTGGTAGTTGTTACTGGCTTGAGGCTGAAAACCAGAAGGGGATAGCGTGTCTCTCAAATCTGGAAGAAAAGGAGTTTCTTCATTTAAATCTATTCTAAAAAGAGTTTTTTATGGTTTCTGTGTTTTAGTGCCATTGTGTTTTTATTTCTTACTTCATTCTATTTTAATCACTTTGTAAAGCACTTTGTAACTGAAAGGTACATACGCATAAAGTTGTTAGTTTGAGTGTATTTACCTGTGTCCCTGTCTGTGTCTCTGCAGGTGGTGGTGAATGCCCTGGTCGGAGCGATCCCCTCCATCTTTAACGTGCTGCTGGTGTGTCTGATCTTCTGGTTGATCTTCAGCATCATGGGAGTGAATTTGTTTGCAGGAAAGTTTTATTACTGTTTCAATGAGACGTCAGAGGAGATATTTCTCCCTGCGGACATCAACAATAAGACCGAGTGTTTCGCTCTGATCAATGAAAACATGTCTGAGGTCCGCTGGAAGAACCTGAAGGTCAACTACGACAATGTGGGAATGGGCTACCTGTCGCTGCTGCAAGTGGTCAGTCAACACCTGTGACTTAACTGACAAACACTGAGATATTCAGTCTAATACATGAAATAGCAAGACCATCAGACATGACATTTATAGCATCAAATTCAATATCAACTAACAGCAGTACAGCGGAGGATCAGACTGCTGTACGCTGCTGTATCTGACATGCTGAGTGTCACTGTTTGCAGACGACCTGACTTTTATTCAGCTGTTAATTGATGTGAATGAGTTTTGTGTTTCAGGCCACATTTAAAGGCTGGATGGACATCATGTACGCTGCAGTGGACTCTAGAGAGGTCAGTACTACCTGAACTGACACTGTTACTGATACTGAAAGTATTACTGACTCTAGAACTGTTTCAGATACTTGTACTGATAGAGGTGCTGATGCTCGTACTATGAAACCATTGTTTCCATCACAGTGGTCAAAGATCAGACCTATAACTTGTCTGACTTGTCTCTGCTGAACATGGCTACCTATTGTGTAGGTGGAGGACCAGCCGGTGTACGAGGGTAACCTGTACATGTACCTGTACTTCGTCTGTTTCATCATCTTTGGCTCCTTCTTCACCCTCAACCTCTTCATTGGAGTCATCATCGACAACTTCAACCAGCAGAAAGCCAAGATATGTTTCTACTCACTGATAGGCTCAAAGATAGCTTTGACCATATGAAGCCATGATGATGAATATTTTTTCTTTCTGTGTGTTAATTTTGTTTTTTCTTTAATCTTTACTTGGGAGGAACAGATATCTTCATGACAGAGGAGCAGAAAAAATATTACAATGCCATGAAGAAACTGGGCTCTAAGAAACCTCAGAAACCTGTTCCACGACCTGTTGTAAGTTCAGTTACTTCCTGTTTAACTTCATCAGATCCAGACTGTGAGTACAGGTCTGAAGGTTCAGGTTCTCCTTCTGTATTTGCAGAACAAGTTCCAGGGTCTGGTCTTTGACCTGGTCACTAAACAGTTTTTCGACATCTTCATCATGGTGTTGATCTGCCTCAACATGGTGACCATGATGGTGGAGACAGACGAGCAAAGCCTGGAGAAAGAGATCATCTTGTACTGGGTCAACCTGGTCTTCATCATCGTCTTCACCACTGAGTGCTCTCTAAAGATCATCGCACTCAGGCAGCACTACTTTGCTGTCGGCTGGAACATTTTTGACTTTGTAGTGGTCATCCTGTCCATTGTAGGTGAGTTGTCCAATCAGTGTCCGGTGATGTCATCAGGGAGTGGTATGAGCCAACCCAGAAAGGGTTGACCCTAGACAGGTCTCTAGTCTATCACAGGACCAACACGCTCACAGTCACACCTACAGCCTATTAACCTACCTGTCTCCAGAACGGATAACCATCTTGCTGTGAGGCGGTGGTGTGAACCACTGCACTGCAGCGCTGCCCTCGCCATTCATTAACCTATAGAAATGTCTCTTCAAATGTGTTTAATATCAGGAAATGGCTTATTTGATTTGAGAGAGATGGAGTGCAAGGGTATGAGTCCTTTTTTAATTTACATTTTGTCTATTTTTTAACCCACAATAATCCCCTCTTTCTTTCTCTCCGTCCTCCCTCCCTCCCTTCCTTCCTTCAGGCCTCCTCCTTGCTGATCTCATAGAGAAGTATTTTGTTTCGCCCACACTCTTTCGTGTGATCCGATTGGCTCGTATCGGTCGAATCCTTCGTCTTATCCGAGGAGCTAAGGGAATCCGGACACTTCTGTTTGCCCTGATGATGTCACTTCCTGCCCTCTTCAACATTGGTCTGCTCCTCTTCCTCATCATGTTCATCTTCTCCATCTTCGGAATGTCAAACTTTGCCTATGTGAGGAAGGAGGCCATGATAGACGACATTTTTAACTTTGAGAGCTTTGGGAACAGCATGATCTGTTTGTTTATGATCACCACATCAGCTGGATGGGACGGCCTGCTGAGTCCCATCATGAACACAGCGCCAGACTGTGACCCAGACATCGAGAACCCCGGATCAATGGTCAGAGGGAACTGTGGCAGCCCGGCGGTGGGCATTGTCTTCTTCACCACCTACATTATCATGTCCTTCCTGGTGGTGGTCAACATGTACATCGCCATCATCCTGGAGAACTTCAACGTGGCCACAGAGGAGAGCACCGACCCGCTGTGTGAGGATGACTTTGAGATGTTTTATGAAACCTGGGAGAAGTTTGACCCCGATGCCTCACAGTTTATACAGTACAGGTGAGTCGCACCACATGTGTACTTCTTAATCTGGGTTCTTACTGATCCTAATCTGGCTCTGGACTCTAATGGTCTCTCCTTTTTACCACAGTAAACTGTCAGACTTCTGCGACACTCTCCAGGAACCTCTGAGGATTCCCAAACCCAACACCATCAAACTGATCCACATGGATCTGCCTCTGGTTCCTGGAGACAAGATCCATTGTCTTGACATTCTGCTGGCACTCACTGCACAGGCAACATCACCTGATCACATATTATTATTTTATTTTATTTTATTTTATTTTATTTTATTTTATTTTATTTCATTTTATTTTATTGTATTTTATTTGTGTGCAGGTGTTGGGGGATTCAGGAGCAATGGACACACTCAAAGCCAGCATGGAGGAGAAATTCATGGCCAACAACCCCTCAAAGGTTTTTTTTTCCTGTTTTCTTTCTTCATTCATATTAAATCTCACAACTTCTGTTGTCATCATATTTATTCATTCTGTCAGACAGGAAACCTTCAGGTGTGAACTCACCTGGACTTTTTCACCTTCAGTGTTGAGTGTAGCTCAAGAAGAAAACATCAGTCATTGGCCAAAATCAATATTTTTCTATTGATGAAATATTTTCTTTATTGGTATTGATTGGCTTCAGCCCCATGGTCCAAGTAACAGATGATTATTGTCGCTGCAGGTGTCGTATGAACCGATCAGCAGCACCCTGCGGAGGAAACAGGAGGAGGTGGCGGCGATGGTGATCCAGCGAGCGTACAGGAAACACCTTCTGCGGCGGACGGTCAAATTGGCATCTTACAAATACCGCGAGAAGACAGATAGACGGCGAGACGAGGATTTGCCCCCAGAGACAGAAGGACTTCTCTTTAAACGAATCAGTCAGCTGTATGGAGACAGCCAGGACACACAGGAGCAACCTCCTCCAGCCCGAGTGGAGCTTCAGAGTGAGTTACTCCTCCATGCCGCTCCTCCCCTGAGCACCCCCGACTTTCTGCGAGATGAGAACCTGAGGGAATCTATCGTGTGATGACGACTGATGTTCACTGGTTCTCCTTTTCTTCCTTTGTTCTGCTCTCTTGTGGAGCGTCGCCTGTTGGAGGGGCAGCAGATCGATGACTGATGACAATCCTCTTCATCTGCGTCTGTGCTGAAGACACTGTATGTCATATTATATCGATTTAATACTTAAACAGGTTGTTAGTGACACTAATAAAACACATCATTATTATTATGTTATTAGTCATTAGTCCCAGACCAGCTGATTATCAGCTGATGAGTCAGATCGCTTCACAGCTGCTCCACAGTGTTTTCAACATGTTGAGGAGCTTTGACCAGAAAAGTCTTTTGATGGACATTTGAAATGACCAATGACAGTATTCAGTGTACAACTGCTCCCCTCAAACAATAAATCATTTAAATCTTTATTCAAACATCAGACAAAAACAAACAAGTCATTCATAACAGCTTCACTGGTGACTGACAGAGACACCAGGCGCTGGAAAGTAACTCAGACTATTTACTCAAGTACTGTAGTACATTTTAGTTACTCGTACTTTATTTGAGTATTTCCATTTTATGCTACTTTATAACTCTACTCATTTCAGAGGGAAACACTTCTACTGCAGGAAGTTTATTTGACAGCAGCAGTAAAAAAAAAGAAAAAAAATATTAGCAAACTGCTACTGCAAAACCTTTTACTATGAGTCAGGGTGGTTGTTTCTCTTGTCATGTTGTTATCAGTTCAACCAAAGAGAGATGTCACCTCCAAACTAACATCAGCATTAGCATTATTAGCAGGAATTTACTTACCAGTCTAGAAGAAACATTGTGAGTTCAGCATCAAATTTCATTCCTTTACCCACCAACCGCTGTCTGCATAGGTGGAGACAAACACAAAGGTTAACTCTCGTCTCTGTCACGTCTTTTCTTCTACTGAAGTTAGCATGCTAACCAGCTAACCATGGCTCATCTCGTCACTGTAGCCTCCAATCTGAAGACGTAGCGTCTCAAAGGACGTGTTATAACCTCTTGTAATTTAAACATGGCTGAAGCTCCACCACCTGGTCCCGGCAAGAAGCCCCCATAAACAAACACTTCAAGATTCAAAGAGGTAAAACGATCCAATGTTTCACAAAAAGAAAAGAATTCAGTCAAAGAAACAGATTTTATTTTTTTCCTCTTCTCTCCCATGAATCATCTGACGACCCGTCAGATTAATCTGGTGACCCTTTGGAGGGGCCCGACCCCCAGGTTGGGAAGCAGTGGACTGAACTGTCTAAGAGTATGTGACATAGTTAAAGCAGCTACAGCAGTGACATCAGTCAGGATAAATGATCTGAGCAATCACAGGAGGAACGTTCACTCTGCTTTTACTTGTCATGGAGTTTTGTATATTGCTGTATTCGTATTTTTACTAGTAAAGGATCTGAGTACTTCCTGCACCACTGCAGACAGCCAATAACAGTGCAGCATCTGAACACATGACTGATGAGAAGGAAACATTATTTTTGTTTTTATAAATAGAAATGTTGTTATTTTACATTTCAGTCATCTACAGTTTGATTTAATCTGCCTACATCATGCGCGGCACAGTGAATCACCTGTTATCAATCACCTGCATTTATGAACTTTCACTTTCCTTACATTCACTCTGATTGGTCGCTTCAGCTGCTGTTCTTCTTCACAGACGACAGTATACTGCTGTGATGATGAGGTGAACCGGCTAATAGGAGTATAGAATGGACCAGGTAACAGCCAATCAGAGCTGGTTTAGACTAACGTATTGGAAATTGATCATTCATGATTGATTTTATCTTCAGATCCTACATTTTTTCTTTCTTTTTCTTTCCTTCTTTTTAAATTTCTTTATTTTATTTTTTTTTGTATGAAGCTTGGTTTATCACTAAATAATAGTATTCATGTTTTTCGTTTCTTTACTTCATACAGAGCTGCAGGGACGATGTTTTTGTAGTCCAACCCTGACATTAGCATCTCCCTGGTTCCATCCACAAACAGCCAATGGGATGTTTCCATTGTTTTTTGGGATTATTAGACAAAATAAACAACAGTTTCTGATCCTGACAGGTTTAGTTCAGCAGGATCATCTTCACTAATGAACACCACGTTATGATGTTTGAAGCCTCAATACAGTCAGCAGAAGTAAAAAGGTAATATTAGGCTTTAAACCAACGACACCACGGTCACGACTTCAGCGTCACCACCGCTAAACTTCAACTTGTAGTTTGATTTAGCTCTGACCTCTTCTAAAAAGCCTTTCCTCTGACAGAGTTAGTGACAGTTTGTATAAACACAAGGAGTCTGTGAAGGTGGACTGGTGAGTTAATGAGGCTGTAAAGGTGGACTGGTGAGTTAATGAGGCTGTAAAGGTGGACTGGTGAGTAGATGGATTTTCATGTTCAACGTGACATCGTTAACGCTCTGACAACCTCTGTAGTCTCATTTAGACACTCGTTAGCAACCGCGATGTAAAAGCTTCAAGAAATCAGGACTTGAGTATTTACAGACTGATTTTATATCATAGAATAAAACATGAAAATGTCTTGAGCTTGTTTTAAACTCAGACCTGATTTCAGTCATCAACCAAAAACACATTCAAACAGAAACCATCTCTTCATGTGATTGGTGGTTAAGTGTCAGAGTCATCAGCTGATTAGTCAGTTTTGATGTTTGATGTTTGGGATGATGAATGACAGCTGTGACCTGAAAAACAAAGTGATTAAAGTTTCCAACTGAAAAATGTTCTGTTGTTGTTTTTCAAGCTCACCTGATGTTTCCACCTGTACATGTTCACCTGATGTTCACACCTGTACATGTTCACCTGATGTTTCCACCTGTACATGTTCACCTGATGTTCACACCTGTACATGTTCACCTGATGTTTCCACCTGTACATGTTCACCTGATGTTTCCTCCAGTACATTTTCAGGACTCAGGACTCCTGACCCGAGGACAGATGGTGTCTTATGATGTACAGACTGTTAAAAGCCCATTGAGGCTAACTAATGGGTGTGATGTGATGAGGTTGATGGTTCCACTTCCTGCCTGGCTCAGAGGCAGTGGGGCAGCAGCTGTTGTCACATCTCAACAGCCAAAGTTCAAAGAGAAAGACAAGAAGAGCAACAGCTGCCAACAGAAGTGACATTACTGAGGATTACATCACACACACACACTAACACACACACACACACACACACACACACACAGAGTTTCTTGTTTCAGAGGAACAGTTCAGTTCGAATCATTTTGTTGTCAGTTAGCAATGACTTCTCCCCCCCTCTCTCTCTCTCTCTCTCTCTCTCTCTCTCTCTCTCTCTCTCTCTCTCCCTCTCTCTCTCTCTCCCTCTCTCTCTCCCTCTCTCTCCCTCTCCCTCTGCTCAGTGTGTCTGATGTTTAGTTCTTCCTCTGCCTCCTGCAGTAATAATGACACATGGAATTAAAGTAGTTTATTTGCTGTAATTGAGGCGAGGCTCAGTGTATTGAAGTGCAGCTCGACTTCCTGTAGTTCCTGAGCAGCCGGGAAACTAGAGTCTGGGGACTGCCCGAAACAAGAGGTGTAGGAGGGAGAGAGGGTTAGGGGAGAGAGGGAAAGAAGATATCGCTAACTGCTAAAGAAGCTAGCAGATCTGAACAACATGTAAACAACAGAAACACCAACAACAGGATATGAGACAATGTTTAATGACGTTGTCAGACGATGTTTTGGTTTTATACAATCACGATTTTAGAAGTGTCTGCTGGTCAACATGGAGCTTTAGTGTTTCAGTCACTGTTTCAAACTTGTTCTGTTGTTATGACAACAGAAACAGGAAACCAGCTGACACTAGCGTCAGTGTGGTAAATTTCACACATTGACTGTACAGACATAGACTTGGTTAGACCTGGTCTTGTTACAGTGTATCCGGTCAGTCAATATTCTTCAGTGTTATATCTCTGGAGTTTTAAATTTGAAAGCTGTCAGGACACAAAATACAAGAACAACGACAAAAATGTACAAATCTTTAGTGATAATCACTCATTATATTATCATAGAATATATTGATATAGAAGAGCTCAGTGTTGATAAAATAAAGTTTACTGTTGATACAATCAAATACAAGAGGATTCAGCTGACTGTGAGCTGATGTGAAGAGTTTCTTTACTCAGTGTGTGCTGCAGTCGCCCTCTGCTGGACAGTAACTGCACAGATCAATATATGAGGCAGACACATCACGGTTCTTTAATTAGAACAGTTCTTTAGACTGTTGCACAGAAACGCATCACGTCAAATAACACACAGGCAGTTTGTTGTTTGGGAGACGACCAGCTCAGAAAGTCAAACTGTATAGATGGATAGCACACAGTACAAATAGAACCAACAACAGTAACACAAGAGCACATGATACACAATATCACCAACAACATCATAAATCACTGATTAATTCTTAAACCAAAGCATCATGTTTCCCCCTGGGATGAAGCTTCAGCAGAGAGAGGAAGTGGCTGACATCAGGAGATCCTACCAGTGTCTGAAGGCCAGAACCAGATCCATAGAGGCAGGGGTCTCCCACAGCAGGAGGACCCAAGGTGCAGGCCCCCGAGACAGACCAGTAGGGTGTAAGATGCTGGGACACTGGGACAGTGAACAGGAACATCTGTGTACAGGATGGATTAGAAGTCCCCAGGTCCTGATGGGACAACAGGACTGAGATCCTGCAGGAATCCAGGTTCCAGACTGACCAACAGGTGCTGGTGAACCATCAGACCTGGTGGTGGCTGACCAGGAGCAGAAGAAGGAACAACTGGAACAGATGTGGAGGGTGAAGCGCAAAGTGGTACCAGTGGTGACAGGAGCATTCGGGGCTCTGACCCCCGGACTGGGAGAGTGGATCAATCAGACTCCAGGTAAAGGTCAGAGGTCAGAAGAGTGCAGTCCCACGAATAGATAAGATACTGTGTGTGTGTGTGTGTGTGTGTGTGTGTGTGTGTGTGTGTGTGTCATTATCGCCATGGAGATGAGATGATGGAGGTTAAAATTAATGAGTTTGTTTCTGCTGTTCGACTTTTAATATTCAAACTGAGAAACGAGAAAATCAGACAGATTTGTGACATACAAGACACACACACGTCATCAATATACAACACACACACTGTTAAAAGCAGCAGCAACAGCAGGTTTATCTCACTGTGACTAGTGGTACAGTGTGATACTGTTAATACACAGGTGATGTGTTAATGATGTTAACAGTTTGAGTTCATGCTCTTCAGTCTAATGTTGGTGTTCTCCATACATCACTCCTCTTTATTCACCAGATGTTTCCAGCTGTCAGTGTCATGTTTCATATGTACACAACATTACAATCATTCTCCTCTGTGTTTCTAATGTAGATTAACAGGGATGATATTCTGTAAATGGAAAGTAACTAAGAACATTCACTCAAGTACTGTACTTAAATGACCTATTGCTACATAGCTAACATTAGCATTAGCAGCTGTTCACTTACCAGTCTAGAGGAAACGTGAGTTATTTAACGAGGTGAATCAGATCAGCCTGTTGTTGTCGTCTCTGTGTCAGGTGGTGCTGAATTTATTCAGTTTCCTGTGATGTAACGGTGTTAAATGTCTGACCTCAGATCAGTGACATCTGTGAATAAATTCACAAATCTGAGTTGAAAACATCTGACACTTTTTCTAAAAGTGGCTTCAACACTTTACATGTTTCCATCAGTTACATGTTTTTTGTTCATGTGATTCCTCACTAGAGTTTACATCATTTATGGATTACTGTAGATTTCCTTTATGACTTTGACAATGATTTGTTCTTCAGCTGTTCTGAATCAGTCGTCCTGACAAACAACATTTAAACAATGTAAACAACCTGCTGCAGTCTCGTAGAAAACAAAATGATTTCTGTTAAAACCTGTCTGCTTTTAGTTATGTTAAATTCAACTTTATGAACTCAAACTTTAAACTGCATCATCTGTGATAGATGAAGGCCCAAACAATAAAACAACAAACATGTCAACTGAACCGAAACAACAAGCGATTACTGTACAAAGACATGTGTGTGTGTGTGTGTGTGTGTGTGTGTGTGTATTCCATGTATATCATCACCCTCTGTGTGTCAGTGTTAAATTACTTTTGATTTTCCAGTACAACATCAAAAACAAAGTTTTGTGTGTCACCATCACTTTGTCCAGTCCGTCATGTTTTCACCTCAGTCACATTTTAAAGCTCTATAAATATTATTATTTGGGTGTTAATGTTAAATGGAGGTGAAAACACACACACACACACACACACACACACACACACACACACACACTCCATGGTTGTTTGTTCGGTTCATGTTTCTGTTGATGAATTTAATCATCAAGTTTTCTGCTATAAAACCACAAACCTATGAACTGAAAAGATCACAACCCACTGAACAACTGAACTCAGCTCAGATTAAACAGAACCTGAACCTGAAGCAGACCCTGAACCAGAACCTGAACTGAACCCTGATCAGCCATGGACAGAGGTAAGACATAAAGATCAGTGGTTTTATTAGCTCTGTTCAGACAGGACCCATTTCATTTTTCATGGAATACATTTATTTTATTTTATTTTATTTTATTTTATTTTATTTTATTTTATTTTATTGTAGTTAGGGGCTGAACATTTTGGCGTCCTATATGAAATGTCATCATCTATCAATAGCAGAGGGCTGTGGTTTTCAAGAATCAGTTTAACTAACCCTGTAGTCTGTGTCGTTAGTCAGATAAAGTCTTTTCAACCGAATTCTCCGACTTCCTGTCACGTATTTTTCCATTTCATGACAGACTGTTGTCCAGCTAAACCCATGGCGAGTAAACTCATACATGCCCTAGATTCCTTTGGCCTTCCTCGCACTACAAATCAGTTTGCTGAAGCCTATCAAAGAAATGCCATTGCAACCTGTTTACTTTCTACTGCTGCTGAACTTCTGCTGAGCTCAGATAAATTAATTTCTCTCTTCCATGCTAAATGTGTTTGTATAATACACGGACTTTTAAACATGCAGGTGAAATAAAATGCAGCAAGGACTCGACCAGTCAGAAATGTTCAGCACTGCAGACCACACCCCCCAAAGTTCCTGAACCTTTGGAAAGTACTACCCCCCGACCAGGTACCTTTTTGGGGGTCGATCAATTATCCCGGAACTAAATTTAGACCCTGGTTCCTCTAAAGGTTCCTGGGGAAAGTTCCTACGGTGGAAATGCGGCTAATGATATGGTTATTATGGGAACTAAAAAGTATTGAGGCCTGACAGACTTCAGTGATGTGACACTCCACTATAGTGTAGTATGACATCATCAGGTTTAAAGCTGCACAGTAAAGATGAAATGAAGTATAATAAACATGAATGTGAGCATCAGCAATGACTGTCTGACCTTCACCTGTCTGTCTCCCTCTCAGTTGTCCTTCTGCTGTCAGTCCTGTCTCTGGGCGTCTCCTCTCAGCCAATCACAGACAGCCAGCATCTGTTCTCCATCGCTGTCAGCAGAATCCAAAACCTCCACCTGCTCGCTCAGAGACTCTTCTCCAACTTCGTAAGTTTCCAGCCCGACAACAGCACTGTGTATTACTGTGTACCTCTGTGTGTATTACTGTGTGTATTACTGTGTGTATTACTGTGTACCTCTATGTGTTGTGTTTGTTAGGAGAGTACACTGCAGACGGAAGACCAGCGTCAACTCAACAAAATCTTCCTACAGGATTTCTGTAACTCTGATTACATCATCAGTCCCATTGACAAGCATGAGACACAACGCAGCTCTGTGAGTATACTACACTGCAATGCACTGTACAAAAGAAAACCACAGACAATAAGAATCACACAGCTGCCAGTTCTCTGCAAATACGGTAAAACTACAGTAAGTTTTAAACTGCAGTAACATTTAAAATCAGTGACATTTAAACTCAGGAACAGAATCAATCGTTGTACCTTCTAATCTGACACATCAGATGCTTTGTTACACAGAAACATCTGGGAGGGCTTTGGTGGAAACTGTTTGGAAGGCAGGAACTTTCAAAAATAACTGGCAGGTGATTGGATGAACCATCTGTCTATCATCGTCTGTCACAGGCAACTTCGACCAATCAATTCTGCATCCTTCCCATTTTTTCACCACCAGCGGAGCCGGTTGGTAAATCAAACTCCTGCTGAATCCAGTCAGGAGTCTGCTGTTCTTTCAAAGAAGAAATACCAGGAGCCGCTATTATTAATAACGAACAGTCACTTCTCGCTGTCATCACACCTAAGACCCGCCCATAGCTGCCAGTAGCTCCTCCCTCATAAGACGCTGATTGGTAAAAACCAATGTGGTTCAGACATAAGCAAATAGCTTGGAGCCTGGCAAGATGGATTCTCACTGCTTTGCGAGGTTAGGTACCCTCAGAACGTTGGGTCCATTCATTGTTCTGAAGCTCTTTTACATAAAGCATCATGATTTTTAAAAAAATGTATTTCAAAAATTATTTCAGTAACATTTTAATAAGCTGTAATTCAGGAGTTCTGGTTGGAGTCTGAAGGTTCTGAAAGTTGTTTTCTGTGTGTTGATCTTTTTATCTCAGTTACTTTGGTTTCAGTTAAAACAGAACGACCGTCAGAATGATTTTGAAATTTGTTAGGGTTGTGTTGTTTCTGAAGCTATTACCTATGAATTGACTGGTTCTTGATCTCCTGTTGATTGACTGGGTCTAGGGTCTGAAGTTATTACCTATCGATTGATTGGTTATTGATCTCCTGTTGATTGACTGGGTCTAGGGTCTGAAGCTATTACCTACTGATTGATGGGTTCTTGATCTACTATCGATTGAATGGTTCTAGGTCTGAAGTTATTACCTATCGATTGATTGGTTATTGATGTCCTGTTGATTGACTGGTTCTAGGTTCTGAAGCTGTTATCGATCTCCTATCGATTGGTGGAGTCTTGGGAGTTCTCCAGTCGCTTTCTGTCTGGAGGTTCTGCTCTGAGGAACCAGATTTCACCCAGACTGTCTGAACTCAAGACAGGAATCCAACTGCTGATCACAGTGAGACCACACACAGACATAAATCACACTGTACACACTGATCTGATCTAACCAAGCGACCACCAATGATCTGACCACCTGACCCTGCAGGCCAATCAGGACGGAGCAGAGATGTTCTCTGACGTCTCGGCCCTCCAGCTCGCTCCATATGGAAACTTCTATCAGAGTCTGGGAGGCGAAGAGTTGCTGAGACGAAACTACGAATTGCTGGCCTGTTTCAAGAAGGACATGCACAAGGTGGGAGTGGGGGGTGGGGGTGGAACAGTGGGAGTACAAGGGGGTGGAGGGGGAGGAGGAGGGAGTTGTGATGATGTAATGATGATGATGTCTGTGTTTACAGGTGGAGACGTACCTGACGGTGGCTAAATGTCGGCTCTCTCCAGAAGCTAACTGCACCCTGTAGCCCCGTCTCTCCACAGTGAAGCCTGTCGTTGATGATGTAATCCTGTATGTTCTCAAGCTCAGCCCCTATGTTAGCATTAGTGTTTACCTCTGTCAGGTGCTGAAGTCCAAACTGATGATGTCATAGTGATGTCATACTTTCAGCTTGTGAAATAAAGTGTGTTAATTCATTTGTGTCTTCACTCTATTTCTTCATGTTCTCAGATTTATATTTTTATTTTTTCATCTTCACTAAGACCTGTTCTGTGATTCTGGAGTTCCTCCTCACCACAAACATCATCAGTTCTGCAGGGAACGTGTCGGTTCTGTCTGTGACAAAAAAAAGCAAAAAAACAAAAAAAAACAANTTATATTTTTATTTTTTCATCTTCACTAAGACCTGTTCTGTGATTCTGGAGTTCCTCCTCACCACAAACATCATCAGTTCTGCAGGGAACGTGTCGGTTCTGTCTGTGACAAAAAAAAGCAAAAAAACAAAAAAAAACAAGTACATAACAATTAAAATCATAAATGAAATTAGTTTCCTGGTGGTCTGTGTGAAGGGTTAGTTCTGCTTCTGACACAAACCATGGTGACATCTTCAAACTGAAAATCACCAGAGTTACAGCTTTTGACTGTTAAATGATTAAAACATAATGAAAATAACTTACAACTTACAGATAAAACACAGAACAAGGTGTCAGTCAGCAGTTATGGAAAACGGTTCAATTTAAATCAGATTTGCTAATTAATTCCTCATTATTTATGAGTGGAGACTTTTATGTTTGCCTGTAGACACGGCAATTAATCAGAATTAATTAATTAGAATTGCAACAATTTAACCCAGTGTGTATTTAACTATAGGTGTACTTATTCTAAGATTACATAGTTCTTTCCATAAACTTCCAGTGAGATTATTAGAAATAAGACCTTTAAAAATGAATTAATCTATATATAAATTTTATGCTAAATCTACTAATATATACTTGGAAATGTTTGTAAATCGTTGTCAATACATTGTCAATATTTCCTTATTAAATTGTCATTATACTACACCACCAGGGGGCAACAAAACGTGCTTCTCACATTTACAGCCTGTGGTTTCTGACCTGCCTTATAGCAACCTCACCGGTAGAGGGCGCCACCCTTTCGGTTCTTTTCGTTGGCAGTCGTTACTCTCCGCCTCAACCTTCTACCCTCCTCGGTAATGTTCGACTGAACTCGGCTGGTAACGGTCGGTGTGTTCAAATCTTCGGGTTGCAGCTCTTCCAGGAGACTCAAGTAAAGCAAGAGCCGAGAGAAAAGAGGGAAAACAGACGACAGGAACAGATACACGGAGTCTCCGACCGGAATGACGGTGCTGCAGGAACCTGTCCAGGTAAAAACACATCTTCAGCTCGTTGTCATGAGCGGGGAGCCGAGTATTTATGACGCCCGTACTACCTTCTCCGTGCCGGCCTCATCGGCTGGTCCAGTCCGTGGTGTGAGAGCTCTTACCCTGCATCAGGCCCCGCAGCCCGCCACTAGCAGCACGGGGTGTTTTATCGGTGTTGTTGGAGTTAAAAATCCAATCAATACAACGAGGTTGGGCCATTACTGTGGGCGTCTGGATCAAGACTTTAACGTAATGCTAGTTCGTTAGCTAACGTCAGCAGCTTGGTTTCAGTTCACGTCGGTCATGCCAGACTCCTTTTAAAACATGTCATATTGAGGTGTGCCTTGGTGTCGCTTTAAAAACAAGGAGAGTGGAACAACCTATACGATCCTCTGTGACTTGTTCGGTGCTGCTCATCGCTTCGGCACACATCCAATAAGTAACTTGACTTTTACATAAAAGATAATACAACATTCGTTTCGCATGTTGATCTCATTGTGCTGCACTCTGGACGAGGTCAGGATGCACCGCGGAGGGCGGCAGTACCGGCGCTAACAGTTATTAAAGTTGATATTCTATCGTAACAAACATTGTGTGGTTGAGTTATGTGTGCTTAAGTTTTCGGCGGACTGTATTAATCGCTTGAAGATCTGATAAAGAGCTGGACAGCAGGACAATACGAAACGGTGAAAATTCAAATGGAGTTTTGTATTGATAACGCTGCTAATGCTAAGAGTAGAGTTCTGTTAGCCGGCTAACTCCGTGTCTAAAAAATCAGCCGAGCGGTTTTAGTCTGCAGAACTTGGCGTTAAAGTTCACAACTAAACATTAAGTGTCAGGGATTTATTCGGTTTGTGTTTATCGTCCGACCCCAGACCAGCCACAGACGTCAGGCTATAGTTAGCCAACAGTGACTTAGCCTCTTGTTGCTAATGCTAGCTAACGTCAACTAGCTGCCGGTTAACGTGAACAACATTAGCTATCAGCTGGTTAGCTGCAATGTAAATCACAGTTAACCAGACTGTAGTTCTGTCTGATTGTGTACGGCGAGTCTAAATATCTACTGATTAAACTTCAGGTCACAGGTCTGTTTGTGACGTCATGACCACGAGCGGCATATCACAGCAAAAGAATATATGTGGACGCCATTTACGCAAATTACGTCTTAATGATTTACGTTACGACGTTACAATGCGTGTTAACAGTCTCCCTGTATTTTACGGGTTGTGTTTGTCTTTTCTGATTGTGGCCAATGAGGGACCGTCAATACATATTTACAGAGGGTTGCATCGATGATGTAGATCGGCAGCATGTTGTGCATAGATTACTGATGTGGGGTTATACTCCTTACAGCAGCTATGTTCATGCAAGGGAAATTCTTCTGTATGAGCCATAGGTCAGAGTTAGAGTCAGAAGAATCCAATTTAAAGTTTGAAGCAGGAGAAAGCAGCTCAGTGATGTATCTGCTGCCTGTCATAATACACTTCATCTGTAACACCTGTGGAGCCACAGGAAATGAAAGAAATCAATGCTCTTTTCCTCTGGAGAAATATTATGACACCCACTGCTATATAACACCTCTATTAGACCAGAATGGATCAACCCGTTGGCAGAGACAGGTGTTTGTCATCAGATGTAGAAAATCCACCTGTTAAAACACGTGTTAATGTCATTTCATAAAATAAACAATGTTCAGTATTTTCAGGCTGACAGCTTTGACTCATGCAGTATCTGTCCTTCATTTTGATCCACTTTGCTCTGTCGTCTTTTGATCCTTTATGGCAGTTGTTTCATATGGCATACCTGCAAATGTTTTACAATAAAATACTTCAGGCTTCTTGACTCTACTGTTTATAATATCAACATGTACTGACAGGCTCTACGATGGATATATATGTATGTAACATGTCAATAATATAATCATACATACACAGACATATTTGTATGGGCTGGAGATGTGTCAATATATGAAACTGTTCCAATACTGGAATTCAATATAAGTACATATATTTCTGAGTTTTAAATCTGCTGTCTGTGACTTTCCCGTGCTGCACACAGGAAGTGATGCGAGTTGGAGAGAGTCTTTAATGTCCATATTAGAGGACAGTGCAGAGAGACAGCAGATAGAGAGCAGGGATGCTGCACTTCCCACCCACACTGCAGGTGTTACATCAGGACAAGTTAATGCACCTGTCTGATGTCATACCTGTCTCTCTGATCAGGCTGCAGTATGGCAGGCTCTGAACCACTATGCCTACCTGGACGCTGTTTTCCTCGCTGAGAGACTCTATGCTGAAGGTAACACCTGTCTGTCTACCTGTATGTCTGCCAGTGAGGTCATAGGAGGCTCTCTAACTGTCTGTCTGAACACCGGTCTGTCTGTCTGTCTGTCTGTCAGTGAGGTCAGAGGAGGCCCTCTACCTGTTGGCTACCTGTTATTACCGCTCGGGGAAGCCATACAAAGCATACCGGCTGCTGAAGGCTCACAGCTGCTCCACGCCGCAGGTTCGATTCCTGCTGGCGAAGTGCTGCGTCGAACTCAGCAAGTAGGAACTCACACACACACACACACACACACACACACACACTAAATGTAGTAGACCAACTCTCATTTCACGGCCTCTCTCTCTACCCCCTCTCTCTCTCTCTCTACCTGTCTGTCTCTCTCTACCCCTCTCTCTGTGTCTCTCTCTCTCTCTGTCTCTCTCTACACCTGTCTCTCTGCCTCTCTCTCTACCCCCCCGTCTCTCTCTCTTCCTGTCTCCCTCTCTCTACCTGTCTCTCTGTCCTTTTATGTCTCTCTCTCTCTCTACCAATCTCACTCTTTCTCTACCTGGTCTTTCAGGCTGGCTGAAGGAGAACAGGTTCTCATTGGTGGAGTGCTGAACAAACAGAAGAGTCAGGATGACATCATCACAGAGTTTGGAGACTCCGCCTCTTATACACTGTCGTTACTGGGACATATTTACTGGTAACAAACCAGTTCACCTAGTCTGTTACTGGTTTTAATGATGTTCAATCTGTTGACTAATGACCTCTCTCTCTCTCTCTGTCTCTCTCTCTGTCTCTCTCTCTCTCTGTCTCTCTCTCTCTCTGAGCAGCAAGACAGATCGTGTTGCTAAAGGTGCAGAGTGTTTCCAGAGAAGTTTAACTCTCAATCCGTTCCTCTGGTCGCCTTTCCAGAACCTCTGTCACCTAGGTAACACACACACCTGGCCTTACCTTTGCTCATGTGACCATGTGCCTTCAGTGAATAATGTGCTCTTTGTGTTGCAGGGGAGAAACCAGATCCAGACCAGGTCTTCAAGTTGTCCTCTCTACAGAACTCCTCTATAGCCCCACCCCCTCCATCTGTCAGTCCTGCCCAGAATCCCTCCCACCGTCTAGACACCGCCCTCATGGAGACACCACAGGACACACTGGTACACAATACAAACACACCTGCAGTCCAGCACTATGCTCCAGTCATCAGAACTAACGTGTTGTTGTTTTCCAGGAGTTGAATCGATTGAATCTTGAGTCGTCAAATGGAAAGCTGACGTCTGATTTGTCGGTCTCCTACATTGACTCCTCCCTCATATCCCCGGAGACTGGTTCCCTACTGGGTAACACAGTTTCCATGGCGTCAGCTGGCTCCTTATTGGCTA